GCTTGTCCGATCAGCAAGCTGTGGTCAAGACTTCACACCTCTCTATTGCTATCCTGTCTGATAATGTCATGCGTCAGTCTTACTTATATTTACCACCAGTGCTTGCCTTTCATAGGACCACAGTTTGACCTCTCCTTTGATTCCACCCTTAGCCCCACCCACCATGCCACCCCTCACTGCCATCCTGTAACAATGATTCAAGGAACTCTTTTCTCGGCTGGCCGTACGATCAGGGTGGCAGGCATTGGTCAAACTAATTTCACACCTCTGGCTTCTGGCTTCCCGGAAAGTTTCGTAGTGGTTCGCTACTCGAACACTCTCACGGGAAGTCGTGAGATTTCACACCCACACTACACTGACCATCTGCATCACTCAGGGCTCACATGATGGGGTAACATCTACCCCCAAATTGTACCCCTACTCCCCTTCCTCGCCCAGTGGCATGGCCATAGTGTGAAAGTTAGAGCCGTCGGAACCAAATTTGTGAGTTTTGTTTCAAATCAGGGCTGAGCGGGCAAAGCATTTTCCATTTTAGACAGATGAAACCCTCGGAAGGGAGCGGATTTTTCTTTCCGTTTCCGCGTTGGACAGGTTTCCATTTTATACAGGTAAATAAAGAGGAATATATCAAGGGGGGAGCGGGGAGACTCCGTTAAGACAGGTTTCCGTTTTATACAGGTTTCCGTTAAGGCAGGTTCGACTGTAGTTAGAGGGCCCCACAAGGCCTGTTCTTAATCGATCATACTAATCGATTAGTTGGATTGTCATATAGACTTGCATTAATCAGTTACACTAAACGGTAATCGATTGTCGCAATCTCTTCCAGCAAAGCAGTTCAGTTAGCTGAATTAGGTCTAGGTTGTCTCCTCCTTCGATTTTGTCGCTTAGGCTAATCAGTTAAAGCCAGGACTAATCCACGACGACTCGTTTCACTATCTTGAAATGGACCTACCTGTCTCCCATGCATCAAGTAGAGTCTTAAGTGTTAAGGGAAGGGAAGACCAGGGTCGGCGATCCCAGAGAATATCAATAACGTTTTTCAAAATAATGATTTTTTTTTTTTGGGGGGGGGAGCATCTTTTGGCATCTGTTCTATCAGGTCACAGTGACGTTCAATATACACTTTTCAAATGCCCTTTGAGGTCATTTGGGGTGTGTTTTTAGTCACATGGACCCCAGAATAGATCTTATAGCACTTGTATGCCAAGTTTCAAGCTTCTAGCTTCTGTAGTTTTTGAAAATTCCTTGCCCCAAGGAGGTCACATATGTCAAAAAGCAGATTTTGAGAAAAACGTAAAAGCAGGAATTTTTGAAAGGAACTTCTTGCACAGTTACATGAAAGTGAATTAAAGTAATTGGTTTAGAAAATTTTTCCGGGAGTGTACGTCTCCCCTTAAGTGCCATCATTGGTCCCATGTAAAGCTAGCCTATAGACAACAAGGATTTGCTGCAGTTTTGCTTTGCGTGTTAAATAATCGATTAATCGATTAGATCGGTTGAAAATCGATTAGTAATCGATTGCCTAATTTTCTGATTAAGCACAGACCTAGGCCCCACTTGTAGGTCATACATCTTTAGTTCATTCTGTTTTTTCTGTCTATTTTTTCTCTGCAGGAAATCATCAGTATTGTAATGATGTGCTTCTCTTTACTGAAACCCTTTGTAAACCAAAAGTGCAGAGTGTGGGGTGGTTAGCGGGTGCTCTGTTGTGGTTTGCTCCTTCTGGCCTGTCAAACATCTGTCATCTTTATCTCCCCTCCTTTTTTGTGTTTTTGTCCCTTTTGTGCGACTCCTCTAATTTTCGGGACTTAATATGACCTTATTGTGTTGTGTGTGCTATAAAACACTTACTAAAACACAAACAAAGTTCTTAGTGACTTAGTGTGCTTTCTTTGGTCTATTTCTGTCAGAAATGTCGTGTTTGCTGGCACATCTGGAGTCGGATCCTCAGGGGTTGGGCAGGAACTGCCGGGAAATGATCAGACGTCGGAAAGAGCTTTGGGAGTATGCCGCACAGGTCAGTATGTGTGTGTGTGTGTGTGTGTGTGTGTGTGTGCGTGTGCGTGTGCGTGTGTGTGTGCATGTGTGTGTGTGTGTATGTGTATGTTGGTGTGCAGTGTCCTTATGAGGTGGTTGTGAGTATTAGGCATGGTATAGAGGCATGAGCTAATTTCAGCATTTTCCGGAGCAAAGTTATTTTTTTTTGTCCCTGAAGAGAAAAAGAAAATCTGTTCCAATTTGTGAGGCAGCGTGGTGGAATCAGGCTCTCGTCAAAATAATCAAAGTGAAGAAACTTGCCTTTTTCCGCAGGTTTGTGAATTTTTATCAAATTTTTGTTTTTTGGCTCAACACCTTTCATGCGCTTTTGAGAACTCATTTCTGTGTGGATTTTTCTGAAAAGCATTGATTAAAGGCACAAAAATGTAAATTTTCAGTTACCACGGTCTCTTAAGTTAAGGAAATAATTATCCTTGGCGGCTATTTTCTCACAAATGTTACCTCTGAAAACAGGTGACCCCCACCTCCTTCTTTCGAAAATATCTCGACTTGTATTCGAGATAAATGGATATTTTTTCTTTCTTTCAAATAAATACAGGTGAACAAGCTTTAAGATGATACCAATAACTCTACAAATCCAAAAATTGACGAGAGCCTGATTCCACCACGCTGCCTCACATTTTATATTTTGGTTCGGTCCAGCTTAAGCTTATCACAAATTATTTCGGTCTACAAATGACACAGGCTATAGGGAACTTGTGTCCCCTACTGGTATGTTACTGGAAATATAGAGCAAGAAGCAAAGTGTTATACAGACAGTCTTATCACAATACTTTAGTGTCCCTCTTTTGGCCTCTTGGATAAAATGTCCTTCTGTTTTCACTCAATGGATGGTTGGTGGATGGTCTAGTGTGGCTTGTTCCCTCTTTCTTATCAAACATCTGTCATAATTATCTCTCCTCCTTTTCTTTGAATGTTACTCTTTAGTAAGACCTCTAATCTTGGACACTTATATGACTTAATTGTGTTGCAAGTGCTGTAAAACTCTTATTAAAACTTAACTAAAACTTGACGAAAACAAAACTCTTACTCAAAATCAGTGTTTCTCAGAGTTTATTTATGGCTCTCATATCACATTTTTTTTCCTCCGATACTTTTCTTCCAGGTTGCTCCTCCTGAGAGTTTCTCTGAGATCTACGAGGAGATCTCTGCTTCGCCAGCCCGGAACTACTTGTTGGCCATTTTGTTTTCTGTGGTGGGGATCGTCTTTATAATGGGTTTGACCTGTGGTCGAGTTACAAAGCGAGTGAGAGCGGAATTGAAGAACAAATAGGGCTCACTTTGTCCTTTGATTGATGTGTCCATCATGTCATTAATGTGTCAGCTGAGATTCGGGGAATTTATTTGGGGAACTTTTTTTTTTTTTATTCAAAAGATTGCTTAACACAGGGTTTCCAAGATTTTATTTTCATTTAGAGAGAAAGGTTCCACACACATCATTTTTTAAAATTCAATTTTCTGGTATTTATTGTTTGCCGGATTTGTTTTCCCTCCGTTAAAGTTGGCCTTGTTTTTAGATGGAAGACTAGAAATGAGAAATGTTTTATCTAGATTTTTAAAAATATCTCTATTACAATGTGAAAATACTGTTGTTTCATGCAATGTTGCAAGAATTGTTGTGTACACAGTGGCTTTTTGGTGAGTCTGCTTATGTGTAAAATTGTAAAAAGGTCCTCTGCGTATTACTTTTCTTTTCTTTTTTTTTTTTTTTAGCCTGCAGTGGGATGCGAACAAATTGTGAAAACATTTGCTGGGCCTTTCAATTGCCACACTGTGTTTCAATGTTTTGTTGGCCCTGTGTTTGAAGGAAAGGACACCCAAAAAAGTAGCTGACCATAGTCATGTTTTGTGATAAAACTTTTTTTCCATGTCATTTTTAAAGGATATTTGCTGATGTAGTATTATATATCCTTTCTGTAATTGTCTGAATTTGTTGATCTTCTTTTGTCCTGATTATATCATAGTTTCGTTTGTGAGGATATTTCTTGCTCTGTCAGTCTGACGGATTGAACATTTTTATCTCAAATTATTACAGTCTACAAATAACACAGGCTATAGGGTACTTGTGTCTCCTGCTGGTACGTTACTGGAAATATAGATCAAGAAGCTAAGAGTTATACAGACAATCCTATCACAATACTTTAGATGTTGGTGGCTAGATATATTGCGAGAAGCAGTTACGCGAACAGTCTTGTCTAAGTCGTGTAACTAGTTTAAGTGTTGCTGGAGGGTTTCTCCACTGGACTCTAGATGAGAAAAGAAGAAGACCTTCGGAGACTTGGAAGAGAATTGTCAAGACGAAGATGAAGAATTAACTCGCTCAACCCTGGGCCTACACTACTGGGTTGTAAGCTCTCCCTAGAGATTTTTACCACTTATTGAAAAAAATATTAAATTTTAACATATCCTTTCCAAATTTGGTACACATTTTATTCAAACCTTTAATTGTTGTGTATTGAAAATTTGAAGGCAAAATATGTCATAGTTTTTATGCAATACTCCGTGGAAAAAGGTCTATATACAGAGTCAAAAAGGAAACATAAAAGAGAAGAAACGAAGTGCTTTCAGATTTCGCACCCCCTCACTTGGTTCACGAATACAGCTTTGTTTGTTCTAAATTTGGACTTGCACTTCTGATCATAGTCTGCTACAAACGAAAAATGGTTACTCTCTCCGATTAGGCTATAGTCTGCTTCACACAAAAGTAGTGTATTCGGTCACGAGAGATAAATTTTCCATACCTATACTGTCGCTGTCAGAGTTGGACCGTTGCGCGCGCATTCAGATATTATCGGCTTTAGGGTTAAGTGAGTTGAGGATAGACCTGTAGTCTGCTTGAGAAAATTTCAAAAGATGGGGCGGAATTGCAATCTATGGTGGAGGCCTTTTGCTAGTCTTTGTGTGAATAAGATCAAGTCAGGAATGAAGTTTCTGTGCATATTTGTTTTTGTCAGATCACAACAAATACCCGAGAAAAGATGAATTTGAATGAAAGATTACATACTTCATTTTCTTCTACTTTTTTCTATGAACTGCAAAATGTATGAGAAATTGGTTTGTAAATTGGAAAATACTTTGTGTTTGGGTATTTGCTTTGTATACATTTAGATAAAAAGTTAATATACGCCACTTATGAATGTTTGAAATAAGAACAAAATTGTATGTGTCGTTTTAATTTCTGTTTTTGAACTTATTTGTCGAATGAATTTTTCTTTTATCCTTTCATTCATGAAAGATGCAAACTCTACAGCAATGGGGTATCTAGTGAAAGAGACGAAGTGAGGTGTTGCCTTTTCAGTTTGGAAGAGGAAGTATTTTCAAGAAGATTTGATATTATTTTTGCCAGTGTGTTCTAGCTCAGAGGGAGAGTTTGGAGTTGCAATAATGTATCGTCACTGGTCTAGATTTCTATCAAACGATGGAACATTTTCCTATTACTGGAAGGTAAGCAGTTATGTAGGTACTACAAGAACGCTATTAGCATAAAAGGAAAGGAGAGTGTAGTGTTTACTTGTCAAGAGTTTGCAGTCTAGGTTCAAAGATCATAGTGGCAGTGGCATTGAACTTTGTGACATCAGCTGTATGCTACTGTATGTAGGAATGTGTGTACTGACGCATGAGCTGGATGAGAAAAATTCTAAGTCTTCTGGGCTTTCTTTCTAATTTGTTTGTGTTCTTGCAACTGTTGGAGGGAAATGCTGTACCTTCAAAATGCTTCCAATTAAATTACATCAAGAGTCCTCTCCACAAATAAGTCTAACACTTTTAATGCTAAGTATAATGGTCTCATGTGTTGGCTTACTGCCTTTTGACAAAATTGACTGTCGTGTCAATGTGAAGAATTTTGTGAATACTGTGATTCATTGAATAGAATGGGGGGGGGGGGGGGGGGGTCAATTTTTGTGTTCCATGCAAAGTGTATTTGATATGTCCCTTGATAAGAGCGACAGAAAATTTCCTGCTTGTGTGTGGAATTATGTTGAGAAAGATTGAGTGTACATGGTGCATGAAGGTTCTCCGTACAGCTGTTGTGCTGAGTTTGTCTGTGTAAAACTAGGAAACATTTTGTTACTGCGGACGCTGCTGATGTGTGTTGATCAGGTGTTGATTGACACACCTCTGAAGTGTACAAGACCGACGCAGATATTGAGCGTGGAAAGAATTTTTTGGTTTTTCTTTTTGTTCTCTTTTTCTGACAATTGGCTTTAAACATGCAATGGAAAACACTTCGGGGAAGGTGGGCCCTTCTTTTTTGTCTTCAAATTGTTTAATATTGAAAGTTGATTAGCTTTTGAGAAGATATCATAATGAAAGTTGATTAGCTTTAGAGAAAACGGGCTTTTCTTTTTGTCTTCAATATGTCTCTTATTGGAACTTGAATTGGACTGTAGGAGTATCGATAATAAAGGGCGATGCTTGCCCTGTCTACTGAAAATATGTTTTTGCAGCCACTGTCATGGACATAATGGAAAAATTCGTTCAACATTGAAATTTTAAATGTGCCCATTCCGGTTAAGCAGCATTAATTTGCCTGTGTCTCTTTAAGACAGGCATGTTGTTTTTTTTCTTTTCTTAAATTTTATTTTGTTTTAATGTTGGACATCTTGTTTGCTGAAGCCCCAGCTCTCTTCAGCTTCTACATTGCTGCAATAACTTCTCCGTCTACATTTGCATCGCTAAAAAATTTGGGGGTTTATTTTTATCCCGCTTGTTGTCCAAGAGCTTTACTTACAAGAAAAAACATGGTACCCCGCTGGGGTTGTGGCGTAAGTCAGACTAAAACCAAAAGGAAACCTACCTGACCATGACATTTTGTATGTGAGTGCCTGCCACCATTTTGTATGTGAGTGCCTACCACCATGTGTTAAAATTATGTGAATGTAGAAACCGATTGCAAAACAAGAAAAAGAAATTGCAATGGCTTTAGTTTGGGAAAAGACATGAAATTTGGATAGGTTATTTTTCTGGGTTTTTTTCAAAATCTTTATTATAAAGGGTTTAGGCCATTGTCCTAGTAGGTTGCCAATATTAATTGTCCTAGCAGGTTGCCAATATTAAGGTATGAGAGAGATATGTAGAAGAATTAATGCGCCCCTCAGAATTTTACCTCTAGAAGTGTGAAGATGGAAAAAGATCTAATTATTGTTCTCAATTTGTCAGTTTGTCTTTCTTTTTATTTTTTTTAAAGGAAAAGAACCTAGAATATTTTTTGACTTAAATAACAATTGACGTGGGAAGAATTCGATAAGCCGATATTTCGGAAATAATTCTCTGTCTCTTACACCTCCAGTAATGGACACAAGTAACTGCTTATCCGTCTGTGCCCTTCTTTTAGCTTCCCAAACTGCAAAAATTACTCCAGCCTTGTTCATGCTTTGAGGCTTGTTGTAGCAGGAGCTCAAGTGGTTGGCTGGTGCTCTGGTGTGGTTTGCTCTTCTTTCCCATCAAAAGTCTATCTTACTTATGTCTCCTTCTTTTCTTTGTGTCTTACTCTCTTGTAACACCTCTAATCTTCAGCACTTATATGACATATTTCGCAAGTGCTGCAAAACTCTCTCCAAAACTAAACCTGTAACAACCCCCCGGGGCAGTGCCACTGACTGTAGTGTCTTTAGGCCATTCCCTAAGGGAAGACATTTCTCGTTCAAGCATAGTAGAATTGTATATGGGCTGACTCATGTCACGCTCATAACTGTGCCTGATCTACAACAGGGAACTGTTGCTTTTTCTTTACTGATCCTTACTATTGTCATTTTTCTCTACTTCTTTTGTATGTTTGTCACTCTCTTGTGACCTGCTATTTTGGGGTGCCTTGATATTTGAAGCAGACCTTGTGCTGTTGAAGCTAGAGAGGTGAGCAGTCTAAGTCTGATTCCCTGTAAAGACTTCTCTGTTGACACCCACCCCTTGGCGCTCATATGACCTTATGCAGTTGCGAGCGCCGTAAAACCCTCTACTATAAAAAAAATAAATAAATAAACTCGTAATAGGAGTGTAGGTTTGAGGTTGGTTGATTTCGTTTCGCTTTCCTCTTGTACCGTCCCTGAATGGATGAAGGTTCACTGACCTGTTGATCCTGCAAATGATGCCACGCTTTGTCGAAATGAGCTAAAAACTCACACAAAATGTTTTGTCCTCTCCTGATGTTGGGGGGAAAAAAAAGCTCTCAAAGTGTTCTCTTGTGTGTTTTAACGCGCTTTTAAGTCAGTCGAGCCTGCATTCATGTATCTTTATCAAAATAACTTGCCTATACTCTTTATGTTGTGCTTAAACTGTATGTTAGTTATATTGTGATATACTGATATATATTCACAAGAAGTTTTTTTTTTTTCCATGTACGATATAACTATTATTATCCTTTTGCTACGACTCTTTATTCTTGATGCAGTGTTTGGTTCTGCTTTTCTACTGATATTTCTTCATCAATCAAGTTGTTTTAAAAAAATATTCTTGTGGGATTACAACGTTGGGACATGCTTACTTTATAAAAATCAAAATTTTCGTATACGATCACTGGGTTTTATCTCATGCCCCAGTTGTCAGCGTTTGTCCTCTGTACTGTGAACTCAAACAGAAGTGTGGGAAAAAAACTGAGAATTACAATTCTGCTTTTGTCTCAATTTGAAAAAATGAGTACAAATGATGAAGAATGAAGAATTCCATTACTGTTCTGCTCCATACATGATGTGTTATAGGCAAAGTTTGTTTGATTTTTAAAGTGTAAAAAAAAATGGATCAGTTTCACTCTGCGTATACAGATCCATCCTGTTCTTTCTTTTTGAGCGCAACATGTCTCAAGATTTCTCTACCGCTGATGCCATTAAGAAATAATACAAGTATAGTGTATTGTTGCAGGGGGCTTGCCTTGTTTGCTTTGCCTAGTTTGTCTTAAGAGACATTTGACATTATGGAATCTTCAGTGTGTTAAACAAAAGGAGCGTTTGTGATCTCCATAGCGACTTTGGTCTTTTATATATATATATATATATATATATATATATATATATATATATATATAAAAATATATATATAAAGTCTTTTTCCGTTACATATCACTTTCTTTGCACTGTCATTTTGGTTTAAGTACAAAGACCTTGTTTTCGCACTTGGTTTCACTGTAGACTTTAGACTTCTGCTGCTGTACTGCTGGGGCTTTCCTGAGAAATCAAACAAACTATAGCTCGTTCATGCTTGTCTTGTTTTTAGAACGAGTGCTTTCTGGAGGCTGATTAGCCGATCTGGGTGTGTGCGTCCACTGCTCTTTTTGACATGGTCACTCTTATGTTATGGGGTATTTTTGTCTCTTCTATTGAGGTCTTGGTGTTGTACTGCTTGTGGAAATACTTAAGTTCTTTTTTCCTGACGTTGTTCAGTTTCCAGCTTGACATCATATTTATGTCTTGTGCCCCCCCCCTCCCCTCCCCTCCCCTTGAAAAAAACAACAACAACCAACAACCAGTATTTGAATTTAACCCCTTTCTTTACTTACAAATACCCTTCTTTTTGACTTTCACCTTTTTTTACTTGGGCTGTGGGTATGCACTTTTCTCTTTGAACAAATGTCCACGAAGATCAAGTTTTGAAATTTTTTCCTACGTAATGTTCTTTTTTTGGTAATCTTAAATATTATATTATATCATTGTTATTATTGCAATTTAATGTGTTGCTGCTGTTGTTTTGTGTTTAATATTTTTTCCCCTTTTTAAAATTATAATTTGCTGTTGCTGTTGTTTCTTTTTGTGGAGAGTTAAGGGTTAGAGAAAAGGTAGCAAATTTTTGTCTCCTTTTATGAGAGGTCTTGGTAAAGATGAGCCACTTTGAAAGTGACCTGTACACATAATTATGCTAGGCAGCGTGGTGAAATCAGGCGCTCGTCAAAATAATGAAAGTCAAGAAACTGTCATTTTCCCGCAGGTTTGGGAATTTTTATCGAATTTTTGTTTTTTGGCTCAACACCTTTCATGCCCATTAAAGAACACATTTCTGTGTAAATTTTACTGAACCACGTTGGTTAAAGTAATAAATTATACAAATTTTCCTTTTCCACGAACTCTCAAGCTAATGAAATAACTAAACTTTGGCGGCCATTTTCCCGCTAATTTTATCTCTGAAACTAGGCGACCCCCACCTCCTTCAATCGCTAATGTCATGACTTGTGTCCAAGATAAATGAATATTTGTTTCATCAAAAGCAAAGGAAATGGACTGGCTTTAAATAGATACCAATAACTCGGTATGCCTAAAATTGATGAAGAAATTTTTTTCCTTTGAAAGGTTTTTTAAATAGTTTGGGGGAAATCAAATTATTGATAGCTAATGTAAATGCCTCATAAGTCATTCAAATCAAAGAGTTAAGAGGGCTCACAGTTTTCAGTTGTGTTTTTCTTGAGTGGAGGTACAGCTTTCAGCAAGACACTCAATAAAGACCCTGTTTTGGCAGGTACAGATTAGGATTAGAGTATAGTACTAGAAGATGTAAAATTAGCAGACAATCTCTCACCTTTCAGTTTTTTAAAATTACTGTCTTTATTAACTGATATCTGAGGCTGGCAGATAAAGGTTTTTATTTGTTAGCTTCTCATCTTTTTTTCATTGAGTGTAACGGATTAGTATGATATTACTTTGTTTGGAAATGTGTCTTCTCTTTGGTTGAAATTGACAGATTTTAAACAAGGGCCTCTCCTGCTCCTTCCTTCCTTTAAACTGTATATGACTGTAGAGACAAATTGCACAGAACCTGTTATCCCTTTCAAAAGCCTGTCCCCATTGATGTCTTTCCATTGCTAAAGCTCCGATCATTTAAAATACTACTTATATTCCATATAAATAATTTATAAATTGGTAAAGCTGGGGTTATGTTTGGTTACTCATTACAAAGAAAATGTTGAATAAGATAAGCTAAGTTACTTTGGTACTGATAAGATAATGTTTGGTTGCTTGTAACTTTAAAAAATGTTGATTAAGATAGGATGAGTTGCTTTCACTACAACACATGTTGCGTAGTGACATCAGATTTTTGCCCTGTGTGAGGCTGGTCTGAGAACAGAGGAATGTTGACCGGCCGCGAGGGTATCTGGAGGTCTCTAGCAAACTGTCACAGGGTTTCGCTGTGTCTACACAGAAAACATTTGTGTTGGTGTCACAAACAGTTGGCAGACCTTTCTGAAGATCGATGAAGCCCCTTTTCCAGAAAAATTTTTCTAGACTTTTGACGGGCAGAAATACTCCTGCCCAGAGAGGAAACAGCAGTTGGTCTTTTCAAGAGTAATAATTGAATGTGCATGAATAAATAATTTCCCCTTTTAGTTTTAAGTCTTGTGATCCGTTACTTTTTTTTGTCCTTTTCACCTAGACTGTTGGTGGATGCATGTGTTGTTTTTGGTGTTGATGACTTTGTGTAGATCATGGACTATTATAATAATACGTATATGTTTTGTAATGTCTCTTTTTTCCTGTCCTTATTAAGTCACCTTTATTGGACCATGCACCATTTATTGTATCTTGAGTGTCATTTATGGATGGGACAAATATACGAGCTGGTTGATATAATGAATGCACTGTTCTGTAGAATGCCGTGTTTGTAGGAATGCAGGGGCGAAAGCTTTCACTAAGCACTCTGGCTGGTTGTTGGAACTGCCAGCAGGTCAGAGAGTTGATGTAGCGGTGCACCTGGACAGCACCCATGTTAAGTCTGACAACTATACCTTGTACTCTGTTGTGTGCACTTCTCCCTCA